ATACAAATTATAAAATATGCTATCAAATAACGTCCAATATTGAACACTATAGCATCCAAGTTTGTTCGTTGCTTTGCGCGCGACTTCTTAAGAAAGATTTGTGAGGCGGGCAGCTCATAAAGTCCATTTAGAAGTAACTACAAATGAGAGTGATATGATTGTTGAAATGAATGAATCTGATTGATTATAGAACTTAGACCTTCCAAATTTGTTACTCGTTGATCCGGGTCATTGGATTAAGTAAATAGATTATAAATAAAATAAAAAATTTTGTTGCAGAATTGAGTAGCCAAAAATCAAGAACCGTCCGAAGCTAGCTTGATTCTCGATTTTAGTTCCTAATTTATTTTTTCGTTTGAAACTTCAATTCCACTTAAAATGTCCACCACGACCTATAAATACCAATTTGAATCAATAAATTGGAGTAAATTCACAACTCATCATTTTTCAAAACAAAATTAAAGACCAAAGTGAACATGTTGTGACTATGCCGTCTTAAAAAACATTAATTTCAAATTTAATTAAAATTGCTTTCTAGTCCCTAAACTTCTAATAAAAATATAAAGTCGACCATAACTAGTAAAACAACACAATAAAATAGACATACTAAAAATCGAATCAAGCATTGACAGAAGAAAAAATTGTAGTTGTGATTCAATCATATCAAAGTTGTGCTTAACATGAAATATCTAAATCCCTCTTTATAGAAAGCAGTTTTTATAAATAAGGGAACTTCAATAAATCAAATACCATGGGCGGATCTACTTCATCTATTATGCACTTGACGTCCAATCCTTTTCAATACTAGCGGCCTTAAATTTTTAAAATCACAACAAAAGTTATGAAATTGAATATAATAGTTTATGATCCGCCAGAAAGCCTCCCATTGAAGATTTCGATAGTATCACCTTGGCAAACTTGGTGCCACCTAAAAGAACGATCATCATCCATCACATTTTGTTTGTAAATGAAAAAATAGCCTTCTTGTGGAAGATCCAACTGCAACTTTTCATTCAATTTGTGTAGCTTATTCTTCACATCCCCAACAATATCCCAAGCATTTACATGAATTGGAATCCTTTTAGTCCCACATTTTGTCACAACAATAATCCTCAGTTTTCTTGATCCACTACCCATATCTCCTGATGATCCTGATATAGTTGTTGTCAAAGATGATCGATAACTCACATCGATTTCTGAATTATCAGAAAGCTCACAATCTTGTAGCGATTTTGAATCATGTAACTCAATCCCATTTGCATGGATAACCAATTTCTTAGCAGGGATCCCTTCTATATCTTGGATTTTCTCCTTTAGCGTTCGGATTGTTTCTTTAACGTCCATTTCGAGCGCCAATCCCAGTTTTGATGTCTGCATTTTGACGAGGAGTTGGATCTTTTTTTGGGAAAGTTCTCCAGCAACGATCAGCTGAATGTAGGACTGGTCGAGGATATCTGAGTAGTGGACATTGAGTTCGTCCTGTAGAACATTGCCATTAAAAACTAGGGTTTGTTTGGTTATAGGGATTCCCTTCACCTTTTGGATTTTTTCTTTCATCTCTAACACTGTGTCAAAGTAGCCAATTTCAATTTGGAATGCATTGCCATCGCTTGGTTGAATGTTGATATCCATTGCTTAATTGTGACAGATAGAGAGGGGTGGAGTCGAGTTGGGTGAGGTGGAGTTACAAGAGAGTTTTAAATGGTATATAAATAGTTGTAACAGTACCCAATTTTCTCTCAGTTTCAGCTGATAAGGATTATCCTTTGTTGAACCTCGAAATGCTTGCTTTTATCGTGATTTCATTAAAAAAATTTGACCCTGAAAAATGATGTTTTTGATTTCTTATT